GGAATCCAGGTGAGCCCAGAGGCCAGGTGCAGTCCCAGGTGGGCCAGCTCAGCTCTCTGCTCAGTTTCTCACTGGGGTTGAGCTGGATCATGGGAAAGAAATGCTGTCTCTAGGCAGAGGGGACTGTGCTATGAACTGCAGGGCCATGGAGTAAACCGAAGGATACCCCCAAACAGAACTTATCACTTCCAGTTTTTCCATAAAGACATGAGGCAAAATCGGTGCTGTGTTTGGTTTAGAGGAAGACCAGCGGGACTGTTGTTCTTCCCATGATTTCAAAATCTAAAAGGATAATTTGTACAGACCCTGATATAGAAGGAATTCCTCCACTTTAATTTTGAGTATTTGTCTTTCATTTATTCCTTTGGACATGATATTTTTTAGAAAGCAACTCTGTGTGTATGACCTGATTTTAAATCCCAGGCAATGAGATATTTCCTTTCTTCATTTGGGCACAGGGCTGAACCCAGAAATCTGGGACCACCCTGAGCTCACATTAAAGACAGTGTTGGATTCTGAAAAAAAGAGCCTGTTGAAACAGAATTGGAAAGAGAAACCTTTTGCACTCGGGTGATGGCATTTACACAAACAATTTTTTGACTCTGTACTAGGTGCTGGGGGTTACAGACATGATTTACATGTGGCCGGGGCCTCTGGGAGCTTCTATGGGACTGGGAGGAACAGCAGTTCAGAAATGTACCTCCTGTTGTCCAGGCAGAGACCCTCTGCTAAGTCACATTGCCCATCAGAAAATGCCTCGCTCATGTTAGCTTAAAAATAGCCTTCTTGTTTGGTGCCCTTGGGGTGGGATTTAAAAAACATATATTCCCACCCAGTCCAGTTGTCCTATTTTCTCAGGCCTCAGCATGGATGTGGTTGCCACAGCAACCATGTAAACAGTAGCTAATCTGTGTCAATGATTATATATATATATATATATATTTTTTTTTTAAAGCAAATATCACCAAGTCCAAGAAATTGACCCTCCTATGAACATGACAGCTGGAATAGGTGAAGAATCCTACTTCCTATTAGATCAGAATGAAGATTTTTTCCAATGCAGATTTGAGTAGGAGAAATGGGCATCCCAAGGCTTGAGTACCTAGACAACTTCCTCTCTGAAGTCAGTCTTGACCAGGACAGCCATTGAGCTGCCAGCCTCAAGCCACACATTCCCAAGGCTGCCTTGGCCTTGGTGGCCACAGCATTGGGAAGAAAGCACAGCCAGCTCCAGCCTCTGTACTCTGGTTCAGAGAGAACTGTAGCTTGAGCTGGATTCATTGTATTCTTTTTTTTTTTTTTTTCTTTTCCTTGGCCTGAAGAGAATGAGGAAACCAATAGCCAAATGTTCTAAAACAGGAGTCCACAAACAAAGCCTGCAGGCCAAATCTGGTCTGCTGCTTATTCTTATAAATAAAGTTTATTGAGATGCAGCCATGCATGTTTCTTTACATATTGCATATGGCTGCTTTCACACCACTAGTTTCAACAGAGACCATATGGCCTAAAGCCAGATGTATTTATTAGATGCCCTTTACAGAAATAGTCTGCCGACCCTGTTCTAAAAGAAACAGAGTAAGGATTTGGGGAGAAGGAAAACTATTCTCCATGAAAACCTGGGTGAAGACCAGGGTGAGGCAGGAGCCAACATGGAAATGCAGTCCATGAGGCTGAGGAGGCTGCTGGGTGTCCCCAAGTCTCTAAAGCCTGTGGCGGGAAACAGTTGTCTCCTAAGAGAAAGGGTTCACCTCTTGTAACCAGAGAGGAATTAAAAGATGGTGGCTTCTCAGATCTGTTTCTATTTTCCAGAAAGCTTCTTCTGGGTAAAGAAACCACCTCCAACCAGTAGGTGGAGGCTGGAGGGAGGTGGGAGAGACCGCTTCCAAGCTGGTGGGGCATTTGTCCGATGCAGACAGCCAAGCTTGCGTTTGCCCAGAACACTAGGGAGATGGGGGGCAAAAGTGGGTGGAGGAATTTCTTAGAGGCCCTGGTTGGCACTCAGGGTTGTTCCTAAGAGGAAAATTGGGAGTCTGGCCCATTGGCTTCATGGGGAACCTGTACTCTTTGTACTTAGTAAAGGAGAACTAGTCTTGACTTGCTCCTGGAAACTCTATGTTGTCAGCTGGCATTCTGAGGCCTCAGTCTGCCTACCTTCTGCCCCAGAAAGATGCTTTTCAGTTCCTCAGGCAACAGTACAGTCATTTGCCCAGAGAGATAAATCCAGGTCCAAAGTACGGGAACTCTGAGTTTCAACCTCAGCCTCCCCGGTGCCTGAGGCAAGTCTCTCGACTCCCTCTGTCCTGCTATTTTACCTATAAGACAACTGCTTTCCCAGCCTGGGAGGGTCTTTGCCTGAAGCCTGGGCTTATTTTCATTTTATAACTGTGGAAATTGAGTCCTGGGCTAATTTCTAAGCTGGTGCTTCATCTTCTCGAATAGGTCGTGCTTAGTTTTAGCGGGTGAGTGTATGCACTCACATAACATGTGAGCATACATATATGTGTGTGTGTGTATCCGTGTGTATACATCAACATACATAAATGGTGGACTCAGTGCTTGCCTTTGTTGGGTGGAAATTTAGCAGCACTGGAAGACCTAAGCCGGTTTCAGGGATAGGTTTAAATAGTAGAGTACAAGGGGAAGGCAGACCAAGGACAATGAGCTTTCACAAAGCCACAGGCTCCTCATCAGGAGGCCCTACACTTGCATGTCGCCGAGGGATGGGTGCTACAGCTTTGGCGTTGATGAGCAGTGTATTAGCATTGGCCCAGATTGGGGCATCCACCATGGGGCTCCCCATTTCACTGGTCACCCCATCAGAGCACCACGTGGTCCTCCAGTGTTGGCCAGGCAACTTCAACATGCCAGGCTCTGGCGACAGGCACAAAGGTGAACAGGACCGATACGGTCCCCATCTTCATGGAGCATAATTTTAGCAGGGGAGATAAACAGGAAACATGTAGTGATAAACTCAATTAGTTATGACCAAAATGAGCAGTAGCAGGAGAAAGTGCCCGGAACTATAAGAACTTAAAACGGAAGCCTGAGCTCATGGGGGACTCAGAGATGTGGTTTTGATTTGCTCGTGGAAGGATGAGAGGACACACACTGGGTGAACCAGGTGTAGGAACTGGGGACCGGCTTCGGTGGAGGCCCTGCTTTTCCTGCGGGAAAATGGAAGGCTAGTCTGGGGTAGCCAGCACAAGACAGCCAGAGGACAGAGGTGAGGAGGGCAGGGATTAGGTCTTGTCAGATTGTGTGCCACAGGATGATTTAAGTCACGTCCTTTTCATCACTTCTCACCTGCTTCCCACCCCACATCCAACGATGGGGAACTCAACTGTCCCTCTCGCCTGTGACCCTGGAAAGTCTCGCGCCAGGAGGAGCCTATCAGCAGGGGCAGGGCTGGGTATTGTGGGGCCTGAAGCTTATATAATTTGGGAAGAAAGTTCCTTTGAAGAAAAATGTGAAATTACAAAAGACAAAGTTAGGTGCAAGGCCTCAGTCAGGGCATGATAGGGAGGGACCTTTAGGTTCAATTTCAAAGGTGAAGCCACCTTTGGTGCTTTTCCCTCATTCCTACCCTCAGAGAGCCTGCCTCTCTCGCCTGAGATATCCGTGCAGTCCACATCCACTTCCTCCTGTTCTCTCCTTGCTTGAGATGGCAAACAAAGCACCAGTGTCTTTTATGGAAGTCTCCTGGAAATCTGGCTCTCTCCTTCCCCCCAGTAGTATCCAAAGGAACATGGGAATTTCCTTTTGTTGCCCAAGCCTTCTGTGAGTTTCTGCCCTGCCACAATCAAGGCAGGGAATGTTGGCTGGGGCACTTTATTCTTTTGGAAATGTGACGCAGGAATATGAATCTCCACAGGCAGAATTATTCTGTCTGGTAGGTCTAGACTGTCCATGGGCCAGCGAGTTCACTGGAGTCTGCATTGGCGCTCCGGGAGCCGCCTGGACGTACCCCGTGCCATGTGTGGGAACAAGTCACTTGGCTCTGTGTTCTGTGGTGGGGAAAACCCCACAAACATGAGCAGTGACAGAGGAGAAGTTTAATAGTGAATGACTTACAACTAAAAAAATGACAACAGGCTCTTCTCTCCAGAATCCAGAATGATCAAAGCCACTTCACAGTAGTGAGGAGTGTCTATGAACGCCGGGAGCCTGCTGTCCGTAAATTAGACACGTCAGAGAGCTCCAGACCAGTATGAGGGAGGGACTGGCCAGCCCGCTGTGGAGCGTAGGGGGAAAACTGTAACTCCTCCCCAAACGCCACTCTCCATTCCCCTGCCAACCTCCACAGAGAGGCCCAGCTCGGCACACTGCACAAGCCCTCTGGACAGAGGGCAGGCTTGGCACACTGAGCGTCCAGCCCCAGCACTGGGTGGGGCTTTGGCCATTGAGGTCCAATCTGGGTTAGAGGCCGCCCCCCACCCTCCACCCCCGAGACGTGGGAAAGGGTCCCCTCAGCCCTGGTGTGATGCCCTCAGCCTAATAGCCGTATGGCCTTTGACTTTTCTCTTTGGAACTAACCATTATAATATCCCATCGCTCAGGCAGAATCCATATCAAAGAGAGATTTTCTGCCTCCCCAAGACAGCAAACAGAAGAAAATGACCACACTATAATCTAAGAATTCTTTACACAGCTGGATTATTATTCATGCGCATCTGAGAGCATTTAAAGATCCTCTCAAATGTGGAAAGGACACCTGTCAGGTACCCTTCTGGAGGAACCTACTTGAAGAAGCACTTCAGTAGACTGAGACATGAACCACATAAGGAATGCACTCTGCAGCCCAGGCCCCCACTGATGTGGGTTTCCCCTCACCCCTGGGCCTGAGGAGGAGTCCTCACTGTGGTGGGGGGCTGGCTTTGTGGGAGGGGAGGGCGTGAAGCTTCCACAGAAAGAGTTCCCCTACTGATTTGGAAGAAAGTAGTTGGCTGGTATTTGCTCCTTTGCCATTAAATCCTGTCTTTCCTGCTGTCTCTCGCCCACAGACCATCTTTGAAAGGAACTGCCGTTCAGAGGACTGTGCCGCCGACCTGCAGCTCCAGGGTCAGCTGTTGCTCTCCAGGTAACTCAGTGCTCCTTCGGCAACCTCGTTCTGGGAGGCATGTTGGTCGTGACCCCAGCCCTGAAGCCTGAATGTGCAGGTTTCCCCCTGCCCCACAAAGAGGGTAACTAGAGTTGGTAGGATACAATGGTATACAATGGTATTTTATAACTTAAAAAGAAGTATGTATATTATATAATTTTTTTTAAAGATTTTATTTATTTGAGGGAGATCAAGCTAGGGAAAGCATGCACACTGTGCAAGAGCAAGAGGGAGAACTTCAAACAGACTCCCCCCTGAGCCGAGCAGGGAGCCCGATGTGGGGCTCGATCTCAGGACCCTGGGATCATGACCTGAGCCAAAGGCAGACGCTTAACCAACTGAGCCACCCAGGCACCCCTACAATAATTTTAACAACAGCTATCATCTGGTGGGGATAATCTGCTTTTTATTTCATTTACAGTTCCACATATCTCACTGTTTAGCCTGTATTTCTGATTCTTGTGAGTATTTGCGTGATGGAGGGGGTATTTTATACTCACTCATTGTATTAGGTTGAACCGTAAGAAATTGCCAGTATTTAACTGGGACAGTTCATATGATTCGACTTACTATTATATAAAGATTCTTTTAATTTTTCCCCCCACACTTAACAACGGCATCTGCTTTCACAACAGGTGAAGGTTCTATGGCAATGGGAGGGGTGCAGGAGAGGGGCAGGCGGTGCTGATCCAAGGGAACAGTCTCTATTGTTTCAGGCTTCCCTCCCACAGTACAAGAGGCCCCCAGGCGAACGTAAACCACACAGAAGCCTTCTGTTTCCTCTCTGCCAGCCTTTTATTCTAGATGTCTTGTAGAATGAAGGTGCTGGTCCTGAATCATTTGGCCACATTTCAGAGAACGGTTTCCTTTCAAGACAGTTCCTTCTGAAAGATTGTTTTAGCTTGAGGGCCAGAAAGCCTCCCCATACGTTTATTACCATTTCTCAAAAACAGTCCTCACTTTTGATAGTTATTCTCCAAACGCCATACTATGTCCCTTATTTGTAACCATGAGAGTTAAGTTTGGGTTGGATGTAAGAAATATCCCATCGTGAACCAGTGACTGCACTAAAACACTTACTTATGTTGATAAATAATCTATTATTCATCAAAGGAATACTAAGATTCTTTTTCTTTTCTTTTCATTTATTGGGCAAAAGGTGATGTACCACCACC